TGGCTGCCACCTGGAGAAGACAGGCGTTGTGGCTGGGCCACAGGCAGGAAGGGTCACCTCGGGGCATGGTCCCCTGCAGCCCTTCTCCACCAGTTGTGCCCCAGGCTGGTAGGAGCCTTGGGACATGGCTCTTGGCCTCAGCAGTGGCAATGGAGCTGTCACAGGGGCTGGGCACAACATTTCATACTCCAGTGTCCTCCAGGTGGTCTCAAGGCTTGTCCCCAGGCAGGGATGGACCTGGGAGCAGTTGTGCTCCAGGACAGGATTGGGGATGGGGACAAGCCAAGCTCCCTGCCTGGGCACAGCCCACCCATGCCCTGCCTTGGCCCCTGGGCTGGCCTAGGGACATCCTAGACAATTTCATCCCCATGCTGAGAGGGGAGGGGGGCCGGTCCTTCTGCGCCCTACCAGCCCATCAACTTAACTGTGATGTTTGTGACAAGATCCCTCGACTGACCCTGCTGGTTACTTTTAATCCTCTCTTTGCTGCCAGCCGGAGCACGAAACAACCCCCAGGCACAAGCAGGAGGTATTCTCTCTCTGGAGTATCTTGGTCCTCATCGGTGCATCATATTGTCCATCCTTTCTAAAGCAACACTATGTGTCACCCTATTTACTGGAATACAAGATGCACTGGGGCAGGGGGGTTGAATGCTAGAGAAGCCTGATAAGCAGACAGCTGGGGATCTGCCCCAGCACACACACAGCATCTTCTATCCCACTAAGTAAGGTAGTCCTAATCGTACGTGTGAGCAAGAGCCCTTCCAAGGTGCAACGGCCAGGCCTCTGCACCAAGTCCTTGGCCCGTTGGGAAGACCTGGCTTCTGCTCATGTTTCTGACTCCACCATGTCCTCGCCTCGTGTCTCCTCTCTGTCCAGCCCTGTGAACCAAGCTCTCTTGTGGAGGCTAATCCCATCGCTCCCGCTGGCACCCCAACCCTCGCTCTGCTTTTGCCTGATCCAAACCGCCTTCGTCACCTGCCCTGCCCAGCGGCTCTGCTCTCCCACAGCCCCCTGCTGCCAAAGCATGGCTCCCTTCCATGGAGAGCTGGGCTCCTCGCAGCACTGTGGCCACCATCCGCCCCACCGGGGGCAAATGAGTCTCTGAGCTGCCTTCAGCACCTGCTCAGCTGCCTGTGGGGGCAGGCACAGGCACCCACCCCCTGTGCCACAGATGCAGGCAGCTGCCCAGCCTGAGAGCTGCCCTGGCTGTCACAGAGAAGAAGGAGGCTGTGCCCTCTGCTGCACAGACTCCCATGTCCTTGGTGGCCCCCCATCAGGAGCAATTCATCACAGCCTAAAATCCACGGCTGCTCTTTGGGGGTTTCCCCTCCACTTGCAATGAGACATAGATCCTCACTGGAGATGTTGATTGGGGAAACGTGGCCGGGCGTTGGGGTTCACCATGCTGGCACCACACAGCCCTCACTGTCCCGCTTGGCACTGCAGGGCAGACCTTGCTGGGGCGATGGGCACCGGTCCCGGTCCCTCCCCTGCCCGCCTCATTGCTTACTACACTGCATGTGCATGTGCTGCTCCCCCAGCCCCCAGCGCACGCCAAGCCCAGAGGTGGGCAAACCAAGAAGCACATCTCCACGGCTCAGTCATGTAGATCCATGGGGGAGTTTTCTCAGGAGGTGTGCTGAGCCTTCAGGATCTGGAAAATTTGGTAGGGTCTTTTCACGGGACTCTCTTGAGTCTCTGGGTTTTTGCTGAGGATAAATACCAGGGAGGTATTTCAGGTGATTGCTTTTGAACCTCAGGAGAGGTTTGACCAGGGTTCTTGCTCTTGCTGGTTCTTGCTCTGAGCCGGTTTGCCCACCTCTGCGGCAGGACGAGGGCAGCCACCCTGGTGCCTGTACTGACCCAAAAGGATGCTCTAATGCCTAAATCCCACCTTGCACTTTGAGTGCTCAGAGCTGTCCTCACTCCACAGCAGGCCAGACCCCATCCCACCCCAGCTGCTGTTGGACACAGGCTGGTCCATGGTGATCCAGGCTTGGATCCATACTGGACATCTCTGACCAGCCCTTGACCTCCTGCCATTTGGCAGAGCCCACTTTGAGAGGAGGTCTGCTGGAAATGCTGGTTTCCTGCCCTGCTGAGATAGAGGCTCAGGCTCCCTTTGTGTCTGGCACAAGAGGGCAGCGGAGGAGGCTGCTGGTATTTCCAACAGGGCCCGATCCCTTGCTTGATTCCAAGGGAGAGCCCACTCTCTTCCTCCAGGTAACTTAGCTTAGCCTCAGCGGGCCGTGTTGGGGATGTGAAGGGGCATGCTGTGCCCTTCGCAGAAGGAAGCCTGCTGTGCACATTTGGCCATGTGCTGCCTTTTTGCTGCTTCCTGCAACAGTCTTAAAACTACAGACCCAGGGTGCTTTGACACGCTGTTCATTTAGCTCTTGAGACACTAAATTAGTGTCAAGCAAACCGTCCCAGTGGGCCTACTCATCTCTTTTGCTTTGGGTGGTGATTTAATCATTGTTACCTTCCTCTTTCCTTCCACAAGTTTTTAGACAAGCCGGAAGATGTTCTACTGAAGCATCAGGCCAGCATCAATGAGCTGAAACGGACCCTGAAGGAGCCCAACAGCAAGCTGGTTCACAGGGACCGGGACAGGAGGCTGCCTTCCTCACCAGCCTCTTCCTCACCCAAGCATGAGGATGAAACACCGAAGGGGACCCCAGAAAAGGCTAGTGAGGTTTGTTCTGCTGCTTCTCTTGTGAGGGGATCACCTCGTTCGCCGGGAGGTGTTCCTCAGCTGTTGGGGTCTTGGTCTCTGCCTCCACTGCAACGCTGGGGGAGTATGGTGGATATTATGTGGTGAGAACATGGAGTGGATGGGGGGCACTTTGGCCAGGCCATTGTCTCTATATTTTGTAATAATCTAACTGTTTTCACTCTGCTGGTAGTGACCTTGTGCCTAGGCACTGCATGGGGTAGAACTTCTCATCCTTCTCCAGAGGGCTATATTTTGGGAGTACCTGAGAGTTGGACTGTGGCTTTGCTGGCCCACGAGATGGGGCTTTGCTCACCCTTTGTTCTAGCCAGGCTGCGGTGTGGCAGTGCCTGGGGCAGCTCTTCCCCCCAGGGTGTCCCTAGCAGAGCAGGGCCAGCTGCCACCTGCGCAGAGGTGCCCCACGGTGTTCTCACCAGCCGGGACATGGGTGGTGGGAGTACGCAGAGGGTTGAGCAGTGCTGCAGGGCATCCTGCACACATGTCCTCCCCTCCTGGTGCTTTGTCTTCTGGCGTTGTGGTGGGACAGTGAGTATGAAAGGAAGGTGCCTGAGGGGCTGGAATTGGAGGTGCCAGGACATGCAGAGCCCCCAGTGCTATGTGAGGGGTGGAGATGTGGAACAGCTGGGTGCTCTGTGGTGTTGGGTTCCTGGTTGGCTTGGTACAGGCACTGTGTAGCAAGGCCATCCCTGCTGCCAGCCTGGATGCCCTTTGCCTGCTAGAGGCCCTTCCCACTTGCTCTCCCTTCCACGGTGTTCTCCCCCCAACACAGGCTGTGAAGTCAGTCCTGTGCCCGCACTAGCAGGCACAGCTCCAGGCAGGGTGGTTGCCACACGCAGGGCCCACTGTGCCCTGGCTCCCACCTGGGACAGTCTTGCAGAGCAAGTGAGGACATGGGGCTGGGTTGTTAGAAAGGTGTGTGGCAACTGGGCCAGGGGCTTCGTGATGTGCACGTGTGCCTGCTGGTCCCTGGCACTGACTGGGGACCTGGGGCTGCAGGGTGACCCAGACAGAGCTGAGCTCACAGACCCTCATCAAAGCACTGAGCTGGGAAGAGGAAGAGGGACTTCACCCTACATCTGTTTTATGAACAGATATATGAAGTGCAGAGGTGTAAGCGGAGCATCTAGAGCTGGCATAGCTGTGACCTCTGTTCATCCACCCACCCACCATTTGTTCTTTCATTCCTTCTCATGTGCGCTCTCTCTCTCTCTCTCCCTGTCTCTCTCTCCTGGGTGCAAGCACCCCTCGTGGGTGCTGGGGTTTCCGTGCTGGCACAGACGATGGAAGAGGACACCCTAGACGATTTTGCATCTGAGCATGGAGCTTCCCTAAGCATGGAGTCTTTCACGCAGAAAAGCCTTGTCTCCTCTCCTGAGGTTGTCACCATCCTCCTTCTCTCCCCACCCCTCACTCTCACAGTTTGGTCCCCTGTGGGGCCTTCTGGCCTGCTAAAGTGGCTCTGCCCTCTGAGCAGAGCTTGAGCTGTTTGCTGGCCCTGCTGGGTGGGTCCCCTCTCTAGCGATGGGCAGGATCCCTCACCAGGACAGGGCTGTTGGTGAATTCTGCTGTCCTGACTGTTTCTTCTGGCCTGTGAGACAGGGCGCTGGGAAGGAGCTTCCACTGGAGCCCTGCTGTGCGCTCCCAGGGCTGGCTGTGTGGGTGAGGGGTCCACGCTGGAGGCCGGTGCTGGGGGTCCCAAGGCAGTGCTGACCCTCTGCGGGTATCCGTTCCAGGTGCAAGCAGGCAAGCAGCTACAAGCTGTCTTTAGCAACCCCTTGTGCTTTCCTTTCACACTGGCTGCAGTTCCAGTTCCCTGGGTGCAAGCACCCTGTAATAAATAGAGTATCTCTGGAGGCATCAGACATGTTGGACTCACGTCTGTGCAAGGCAGGGTCATGCTGCCTTTGGTATCCTTACAGAGTGCCCATGGGTGAGGAGCGCGTGCTCTCAGCCCTGCTGGCACGCACGGTTTATCTCGTGATGGTGATTGTTTCCGGGATAACCAAGATACCACTGAGCAGAAAAACAATGGTCTTTGAGACTTGATTCTGGTGTGGTTGGACCCCCAGTGTGGTGCCCAGCAGTGCTGGGATGCATGTGTTGCCTGAGTGCTCCCAGGGAAGACAGCAGAGCAAAGGCAGCGTCGGGCAGGGGGTCAGGTGGGGCAGGGGCAGGAGCGAGGCTGGTCCCACTCTCACTCCCTGTCATCTCCCATAGCCTGTGCAGAAGTTTCCGGGGTCCTGGGGCTGTGCCCTACCAGCACACCTTGGTTGACCTGGGTGGGTGGAGCATGTGTCCCCAGAAGGCAGTAAGGGTGTGTGTGAGAGCTTGGGCACAGCCTTGGGCTTCAACTAGGATACAGTCACCTTCAGTGAAACTTGGGCTCTGCAGCAGCATGTCCTGGTCCGCACTGGGACCCTCTACCTGCCAGTACTTAGGAGCTGGTGGACAGAAACAGCAGAAGTGAGGTGTGCACACATCTGTTGATTCAGAGAGTCTTTCCATCCACCCTCCGCAGACTCTCAGGGTGCCAGGGCTACACTGGGAGGCAGGTGCCAACGTGGCATCACCAGTGATTTCTCTCCAGGCCTTAGTGGCTGAGACTCAGCAGCTGATATGTGGGAACGTGTCCTCTCCTGGCCTGTGGTCACCATGAGGAATTCACAGCCCCAGGAAGGTGATGACATGAGAGCAGCACATCTGCAGAGCTTGGGGCTGTCATCACGCTCGGCCACGAAGTCCCTCAGTGCCGGTGGGCTTCAGACCCACTGAATTTGGGTTATCTGTCACCCCCAGCTACATGCTTCTCCACCTCCCCTCTGTTCCTCAGTCCTCACTCCTGCTGCACAAGCAGAATGCTGGGCTGGGACGTGCCAGGATTCTCTTCAGCTTTGAGTGACAAAGCAATCACATCTGTTGCCTCAACATCTCAGATTCAGTCATTCTCCCCTCCTTGTTGTGAGGCTTGTGCTTGTCTCTCAGGTGAGCTGGGTCTCCCTGAGGAGCAGAGAAAGATGGCAGGGACACTGAAGGATGCCAAAGGGAGAAGCCTCCTGCCTGCCTTGGGCTCTGCAGAGGTTATGGGCTTTGTTTGCAGGGGCAGGAGACTGCCTCTGCTCCGTGTCATCATTTCTTTCCTTTCTACCAGCTTGCTGTCTCTTGTGCTATGAATGCCACAGTGAGAATGGCCTTCCCAAATGCCCCTGTTCCTAGGACAGATGCACTGGGGACTGGGGAAGTGTGAAAGTAAACTATCCCTTGGGAAGTCAAGGTTGCTCTGGGAAGGACAGACCCTTCCCAGCATCATCACTTCTTAGACTCAGATCCTGCCTTTGGCACACACTCTTTTGCCAGCCTACTGACCTCCAAAGCTCCAGAAGTTCTCTTCTTTCCTGGAAGACTTACCCAAGTATCCAGATATTTCCTCTGAACATCACTGAGAGTCCTCAAGCTGTGGAGAAACAAGGGCTGCCATGAGGTGTGGAACCAGGGCTGTGGCCAGAGTTGGTGTTAAGCCCTCCGGAGCAGAGTTGAGATCACACCACAGGGTAGTTGGCTGTTCCCTTGGAGTGAGCTTTGCTCATCCCACGGAGTTTGAGAAGAAGGAAGCTGGTTTGGAAATAAATCTGGAACTTCTGGGATTTCCTTGCTGGTTAAGAGGTGCTGCCACAGATTAAGACATTGTTCCAGGCTTCAGAAGCCTTGCCTTAAGGCTTTTTGATCTACAACTTATATCTCAAGCCTTAACTCAGGAGAAGGAGACTGAAGAATGAGCTTTGCTCATCCCACAGAGTTTGAGAAGAAGGAAGCTGGTTTGGAAATAAATCTGGAACTTCTGGGATTTCCTTGCTGGTTAAGAGGTGCTGCCACAGATTAAGACATTGTTCCAGGCTTCAGAAGCCTTGCCTTAAGGCTTTTTGATCTACAACTTATATCTCAAGCCTTAACTCAGGAGAAGGAGACTGAAGAAACTCCTCATCTTTGTCCAGGGAAGCTCTCCTCCAAAGGACTCTGGTTTGCAGCCAGAGAAGGGGGACGAGAGGGCTTCACCGAAGAGATTTGTACATGTGTTTGCAACCTGTCCATCTTTGCTGTGACTGCAGAATGGGACTGCAGTGCAGGAGCAGAAGAGAAGCTGCTGTACCCTCAGGAAAGTAAGCCATTTTCTGGTTGCATTGCCCATGTGCATCGCTACCAAATGGGAAGGCTGGTGTTGAGGGAATGCCAGAGACCAACCTGGGCTTCCTGGCAGGCCCAGTACAGCTGCCAGATTAGTGGTAACGTTGCTTTCATGGGTCAGACCCAACTGTGGAAGGCCTAGATGCGACCTGGTGCTCTTGGCAGTCACTGACTGCTTCTGTTGCTAATTCCATGGACTAGGAAGAGGTAAAACTGCATCTGAATCGGGTGTGGAGGAAGGGACCTGAAGAGCAGATGATGCTTGGGAGCTCAGGGTAAAGGGATATTGGAGAGGCTTGTGTGAACAATGAGGCAGGGAGCTGGTGTGGGACAGGTCTACTGAAGACCTGGCTCTCAAGCACAGGTTCACAGAGCTGCCTGGCTGTGGCAGGGTGCAGGTGCCATGGCAAAGTCCCTGGCAAAGATACATCTTCCGTCACGTGGAGGAGGGTGCCCTTACTGCCAGATGTGTGGTGTGGCTTGCATGCACGTGGGCCATGTCAGCAGCTATGCTGGCCGTGCGGAGGGCCTGCATCTGCTGCTGCCCTTGGGTGGCTTGGCATTCTTGCAGGGGACAGCAGCAGGCCATACCCATGGTGCCAACCACCCATGCACAGCCCTGCTGGCACTTGGGGTTTTCAGGGGCCAGCCATGCTCTTGCCAGAGCCTGGGGCAGGGGGGCAGGCCTGGGGCACTGTGCCTAGGGAGCTTTGCTTTCTTTGGCACCTGGTAAAGAAGGCAGGAGTTGGGAGGTGGCAGTTTGCTGCCCAGGGCTTTCACCA